ATTTCAGCGTGGCTGTTGTTAGTAGGCCCAATGGCAGTTTTGGCAGAGGCTGGGCAGTGACCCTCCATGGTCAGAGGCTCCCTGCCTTGCTCTGAGCTCTTCCTGACAACCCGTCAGTACTCCTTCTCTCTGGATTTGCCCCTGAACAAGCCCACCAAGACAGTGGAGACAACAGCAGCAGCTCCTACGGCCAGCATGCTACCAATTGCTATCTTGGCCTGAAAAGGAAAGGAAAACATAGGCTAGAATCATGATAAGCAATATTTACCCCCAGGCATACTAATGAAAAACAGGCAGGGATAATTAGGGCAGTTAAAAGAATGAGAAACATCTGCTCCAGAAGCAGAAGGGGTAACACCCAGGGTTTTACCCTTAGGCTGTGGCATTCAGTAAGAGGGCACTGTCAGGGTGTAGACAGACCACAGTGACCCTCCTGGTCCAGGGTCTGTGGTGAGGCCAGAGGCAGTGCTGGTTTGGATCCCACACCTGGGACTTGGCTGTCCCCAGGCAGTCTGTGGGCTGTGTCCCTGTCCAGGGGCTCAAAGGGAGCAGCAAGAAGGTGCTGTGTGAGGCACACAGGGGCTTATCTCATGGTACTTACCTGGTCAGAGACACTCTCACCATAGCGGAGCATTGTCACAAAGTGCTCACAGTTTTTGCCGAGCACATCATAGGTCACCTCCATGTCAATGTATCTCTCAGCACGCCGGATGATCTCCTTCACTGGGAGGGGAGTGCGGGAGCGGTCATACTTGTTGTTGACCTCCCAGTCATTATCTCCCACCACCTCCTTCAGGAGCTGCTTCTTCACCTTGGCCTTTCTTGTAAATATTGAGGCAGTGCTCACCGACAGGGATGGGGCCCCTTCATCTGGGAAAGGCAGGAAGGAGATAAGCCAAGCAGAACCTGTCTGGCCCCTCCAAGACCTCAGATGGGTTTCTGGCTGCTCCTGGAAAGGCCATCTATCTCCAAACACAGGGTGGGTCCACCACCAGCCCACAGAGGGAGACAGGGCTCCTGAAGCACATTAACATCCCCTCTACACCCTGCCAGGCTGCACCAGCCTTACCTACAGGTGTCACGTTTAGGACATATCCATCCCCCAAGTAGAGGGCCCAGTGCTGGTAAAGTTGTCGCTTGATCTCGATCAGGTCGCCAGGCTCGGGGTCCCGCTTGCCACACGCCATTCCAGGAGCCTGCGGTCAGGACACGGCGTTGCAGCTGGTCTGGCTCAGCGCAGGGCCCAGCAGAGCGGGGAGGTGCGGGGTGTGCAGAGGCACCTGGCGGGACGGCAGGCACGGAGGGCGTCAGTGCCGGGCACCGAGGGCATGAGCTGCCGGAGCGGCGGCCCCTCCGCGCCGGACCCGGCTCGGAGCGGCCGCTGCCGCCCGCTGGCGCAGGGCAAGGCACGGAAGGGCCGCCGTTCCCACCCAGAGGATGAGGTCGGCTCCCCCGCCGCCGTACCCGGCTCCCCCGCCGCCACCCGGTCGCCGCGCTCCCGTCCCGCCCGCGCTCCCTTCGGGGCTCGTCTTGTGCCGCGGCCGGGCCCGCTCCGCTGGCGGGACGCAGCTCCCTGGGGGTGCCCGCGGTGCCCAGCCCGTCCCCAGGCTCCGGGGCACCTCCGGCCTCTCGCCAGAGCCGCACCCGCCGCCGGTCTTCAACGTGGCCGCATCCTGCTGGCAGACGCCCGCTCGCATCCCCCGAACTCCGCTCCCCACCCCGTCACATCCCCCCGCTCACCGCACAGCCCGTCCCGCTGCTGCCGCGACCAGGCTCCTGACCCGCTGGCACGCTATAAATAGCGAGGAGAAGGCGCTTGCGCAGATCCTGCCGGGATCACTGCCAGGGCTGTCCCGGAGTCCCCCGGTCCGGTCCCGTCCCGCCCCGCCCTTCCCGAGGCTCCATTCCCGAGGGTGTTGGCTAATCCGCTCGCTGGGTGGAAAACCTAGTCCAGTCTCCGACGAAGACCGGCCACCGCCGCCTTGCTATCTCCTGCAGCCGCGGAGCGGTTCCGCTTCTACGCGGCCTTACGGTGAGTGAGCATCCGTCACCAGGAAACCTTCCGAAAGGGAAAGGATATGCTGCCGTTCCAATTCTTCGCTATGAGGAGAAACACCAGCAACGGAGCTCAGAATGTAGTCGTTTTATGGCAAAGAGATTTTTAGGATGCCTTTTTATTTTTTGACGTGACCCAGGCATTTCTTTCGGGACATTAGCGGAATAGCGGAATCTGATGATTCTGCCCAGCAAGAGTCTTGATCCGAGAGGGATCCCGATCCCATATGGCCAGCTCCTTGGCTGTTGCCTGCACAGTGTGCTAAAAAGGAAGGTTCATTAACAATAAAACTGTCTTCTGGGTGAGTTGAACTCAGCAGTGTATTTAAAGCCTGGCATTTAAAAAGTCAGGTGAGCAAGCTGGTTTATTTAAAAGATGAGAGCAGTGGGAGGTTTGTCAACTTTCTGGCTTCTAGTGACATGAATTAGTTAATTCAGTGGAGCACTGAGTGGCAGTTCTTTCTGTATCACCCCCTACTTCAAGTCTGAACTATTTGCAAAGCTTTGCAGTGGAAAGCCAGGGCCATTCTTGTGGTATTGACCAAAATATAAATATATATATATATATATATATATATATATAAACCCAGAAATCTGCTTTACCTGGGTACAGCAGAGTTCTGTTGCCTGGGAGAGCCCGGGCTGGGATCCTGCAGGGCAGGGACTGGCCTGTGCTCCCACCAGTGCAAGGGGAGGTGAGTGTGGTCAGCACTGCTCAGCAGTCACAGAATCGTGCTGTAGCAGGCGCACAGTGCAATAAATAGGAAGCTGCTGCTGAAGAGGCAGGACAGATGGCATTATAATCACGGTGAAATTCCATCATAGGGTTTATAGTTCATTTGTGCACAAGTAGGTCTCTCTCGTTGATTCATTTTCATTATGTAATGAGGTTGAAAGGCCCTTTCTGTTCACCCACTCTCCAAAATAGCTGTGGCCTGTGTGTATGAACAGGCCACATGAACAGGCTGGTGTGTCCTTGAATGGACCAGAATAACCTAACTCACCATGGAGACTACAAATACTTCTCTGGCTAACAATACACATGAGTTTATGGATAAAAAGGAAAGGAGAAAGGGTGAGTAAATAGTAACCAGCATTATGGCAGAAACAACAGGAGGCCCACACTGTTCCTCACTGTAATCATTGTTAAGGAAACCCTTCTGTCTGACCACGCAGGAGCCCCTCTGGCAGGCACACTCACACCACCTGAGCTGGGACTGCCCATCAGAGCAGGTGACCCCAGTGAGCCAATGGGTGCCCTGCTCGACTCCCTGTACACCCCACACTCACACAGTCAGACAAAGTTTCCTCACTGGCTTGACCCCAGGTTTCCCCTAGCAGAGTCTCACACACCTGGACCCTTAAAATAAATTGCAACAACAAAAGAGCAGCTTGAGCTGGGTGCCTTCAAGGAGGGACCCCAGAAAAAGAAACCCTGCGGTTTTTATACCCTCACAGTCTTAAGTGTGAAAGTCTGCTGTCCCTGGCTCCTGCTGTGTCTCTGAGTGTCTGTTCACCTGGCTGGTGCCACAGGTCCCCATGCCCTTTGTTATGTAAAAGGCTGGCACCAGTTCAGGGCTCTTTGCCTCTCGAACTGCAGCTACACACTGAGCTTCAAGCACTGTATGTATTCCTAAGCAATCAGGAGGTAACCTGCAAAGAACTGGAAAAACATCAGTAAAACCTTGGTAGTACTTACGTCTCAAAGCTTCACTCATAGCACTGGAAATTCATTCTGGCCTTGTACAAGGCTCAGGCAGTGCTTCAGTCCCTGAACTTTGTGACTGGTCTGTTATGGGGTGGGTGTGTCACACATAGCATGTTACTAGGCCTTGTTGCAAACACCTTTGGTCTCCTGATGTAGGGGGGGTTCTTAGCGTGGTCTGGGGCTGAGCGGATGCAAATCTACTCTCACATTTACCATTTTGGCAGCTTCTGAGTTTGCAAAGACCCCCAAGGAGAGTTTATGACAAGATCTCATTCTTCAGAAAGTTTTCGTGAAGTTATGCTCTTGCTTAGCCCCCACAGGGACTGATTACAACACTATTTCTTTTCCCCCTTATCCCCTCCACCCTAATAGCAAGGAGGCAGTTCTCCTTCAAACAATCACTTCTTTCAATCCAGCACTCCCAAGGGGGACAACGGGGGTTATTTGTTTTACTACGTCTGTCCTCAGATGAGCTCAGTGTCTTCTTTATTATTTCTCTCCCCAGTTGGATATGCCTTGCCAGAAAAGGAGTAAGAACTGTGTCCATGTTAGTCAATTAATCCCCTCCCCATGGAAGTATTTGGGTAGGATGATCTCATGAAAACCTGCCTGGGATGCTATAATTAGTTCATAGAATCACAGAATGGTTTGGGTTGGAAAGGACTTAAAGATCATCCAGTTTCAAACCCCCTGCTGTGGGCAGGGACACCTTTCACTAGATCAGGTTGCTCAGAGCTCCATCCAACCTGGCCTTAAACACTTCCAGGGATGAGGCAGCCACAACTTCTCTGGGCAACCTCTTCCAGCGCCTTATCACCCTCACAGTAAAGAATCTCCTTCTTAAATATAATCTAAACCTACTTCCTAATATCTAATATAAACATGCTTTCTTTCAGTTTGAATTCTGACCACATCAGTCTACACATCTACCACAGTCTACCACATCAGTTTTGTACATCTCTCAGAGGTGAGTAGGTGATGGTGTGCTGTCAAATTCTGTCTGGACTTTGTGTTTTTCAAACAGCCTGTGAAGACAACAGAGTCTCTCATGTCAGTTAGAGCATATTCCAGTTTGGGTCTACAACATGAGATCCGAGAGATATTTTAAATTCACAACTTCAAAGGTTTTTAACAAACGCAATGATAAATTTATTATTATTTTTTCTCAAAGTAGTAGAAATATAATTAAAATACAAGAGCAGAAAGTATGATAAATGAATTGGAAAAATACTGTTAACTATAGGTGTGTATTTTGGTATTCATTTTGATCAAATGCTCTGTTCACAATGCAGTCATAATCTTGCTCGTGTACTCTGGCATCCAGTTCATCCCTGGACCACTTCAAAGAAGAATCCTTTGTTATTGTATGTGTATCCACCTTTCTCTTTCTCCTGTACAATGAGAAAAAAAAAAAAGAACAACCAATTTTAATTTCTGTTCTTATCTATAGTGAGAAGTCAAACCATGGTCAAAAGAGATCCCAAGTGCTGGGGTTCCTTTCTGGTCCTTGCAGGTATTTGACTGATGGGAGTTTTGAGGTTTACAGATGCTAAAAGGGGTGTATGTGTTTTGACTCTTTTGAATGTAGCAAAGCTGGGAAAAAGCCTTACCTGTACAGGTACACTATAGATGGGATGAGAATGACAATAACAGCTACACCTGCCACGACTCCGATGACGATGGCAAATGTATAGTCCTTGGGATCCTCTGTGTCAGGGTCTTCAGCTGAAGAAGAAATAAGAGCCCTGTCACTGAAAGCTGACCATACTGTGAACAGAAATTTTTGTCTCAATCCTTGCCTATGTGTTTGGTTTACACTGTGTTCTCTGATGAATGTGGCTTTCTGGAGTGGTGTCAGATCCCAGTCCTGTATGCTCTACAAAGCCCTGCTGTCATGATTTCTGGCACCTCTCCACTGGGCATCTGACACTTTTTTCTGCCTGGATGACCACAGGCTCTCACCCACTGGGTTACTAATTTACATAATGGAAGACCAAGCTCAGTTTTCTCCATTTCTGAAAGTAGTGTGAGTAATGCAGACAGGGAAGTGCAAAATAGTTTTATTACCTATCTTTTCAGCCTCACACGTTGGTCCTGTGTACAGCTCTGAACATTCACAGTAGAAGAGGAGAGAGGTGTCATTGGTAGTTTCAGAGCAAACACCATCATTCTGACAAGGATTTGGCATACATGGTCCACCTAGTGAAAATGAAGGAGAAATACTTGATTCTCAGATAATTCAACACTGAGAGAACTGTTCTTGCTTAGATTACACTGACTCCTGATGCTGCACATCCCCTGTATTTTATAAGGCAGTTACTTGTATCTGACAACAGGAATAACGGAAGGAAACTCTGTTTCTGCAATGAAACATCAGAGCAAGATCCCCTAAATGCTTTTCTTCTGTACACACTCCCTTGAAACTATCCCCAACCCAGTGATGTCTTATAAGATAAGTCAAGACTTCATAGCATCAAAGAAAATGTGATAGTGGTTGACTCACTCCTGTAGCATCCACGAGTGTAGTTGGAAATGCTGCAGATTTCATCAGACCCACATGGTTTGTCAGAGCAGAAAACAGTGGAGCTTTCTGTGCACTGGCATGTCTGAGAGCAGTCATCAGTGGTGAATATTTCTCCAATCTGGAAGACAGCAGTGAGATGTTGAGAATATCAAATAAAATCAGACAGAAAAAAGCATGAATAGAGCACGGGGCCCCATTATAGTCTCTCCAACGCTTTCCTGATGAATAGCAACAGGGCAGATTTTTTTTTTAATTAGTTTGTACAAATAAAACAAGCAGTTTACTAATCCAGCTCTTTGAAACTAGGGGATGGCCCAAGAAAGAAGACAAAAGAAGAGTTTGTGGTATGAGATCCTGGTCCCAGGTGGGGTACATATGCAACCAACAGTATCTAGCTGTTGCTGGAGATAAGGGTGACACATGCATCACATCATACCTCCAAGGCAATGTGGAAATGCTATCTACTGTATTAATTGAAAGTGCCTCCTGCTAATAGTGTCTCCCTCCTCCAATAAAAAAATGTTTACAGGCTTAGGCCTTTTCTGTACCAAATCTCTAGTGTTAACACAGAAATATATGAGATAATGAAGTTGTTCTATCCTGCAGCGACAATGAAGGATTCTCCTCAACATCCAGCCTTGCTCAGGGCTCTCTTCATGTCCTCCTCAGCTCTACAGTCTCTCAACACTGCCTATGTCACTCTTCACTGAGATGACTGGGACCACAGTGACCCACAGAATTTCTCTGTAACTGGTGTGTTGTAAACTTCAGTGCCTATGAGGCTATTATTTAGCCTAATAAAGCTGAGGCATTAACATGGAGGTCAGAGTGCAATCATATACTTTCTCCAAGTGCCTGCCTTGAGTATTCTGGCAGACAGTTTCAGAGGGAGACCAAGGGATCTTCTCTCTCTTCCCTTTCTCCAGAAACCAGAATTTTATTAAACAATTGCTCTTTGTTTCTAATGCAAAATTACATGCTGAGCATTACGAGGAGATTGTCAAAATAACTAATGGAAGAAAATACTGTTTAGTGCTGCGGGAGCTGTCTGAGCCACAGAGAGACTGTATGTACCTCATAGTATTTGTTCAGGTATGTGCAGCCACACTCTTTGTAAGGCACACAGTCAAAACCGCTGAGAACATAGCCAGGGAGACATTCACAGCCTTCCACACAAGGTGATTCACACTCAGAGGGGCTGGTCAGGTCGTTGCAGGATGCTGGGCATGCAGACATGCATGAGCTATAGTTGCTGTTGGCAGGACATGATATACCTATAAAAATAAGGACAGTCCAGTTATACCAGGATGCTGTGCATTACTTAAATATAGAATTCTCTTTCAGATCCAGAAGGCATAATTTTGTAGGAGGCCATATGATGAACATACATACACAGAGATGTGCATGCATATATAATAGCACTGAAGTTGTAAGTAAAGCACTCCAAAGTCAGGAAATGCATCATCTAAGCTACTTGTATAATGTGCTCTCATTCCTGATATACACTGATCTCAAAACAGCTTCCCACACATTCAGGGTAGCCATCCCTGCAAGTGCCAGACCTGTTTCACAACTTTAGGAACTGTATTTCACCAGGAATACAGAGTCATAGGAAACACAGGGAAAATATGGTTTGATATTTTGGTTGACCTCCAAAAAAAAAAAAAAGGTTGAGATGATTATAAGTTTTATTTCAGCATTTTTTAGTCTGAAAAATTTAGTGTTTTCAGTTGAATCTTTTTTTTTTATCTTGAAATTTCACAGGCAAAAAGATAGTATATTTTGTAGATTTTAAAGGAGATTGAAATTAATTGTTTTTCCTTCAGATTTCTAGCTTGTGATGGTCTCCAAATTTTTTTTTTTTGTTTTTTTTTGGTTTCATTGAGATGGGGGACATTTTTTCTCTCATAGGACTTGTGATGACAGGGAGCTGACAGCTCTGATTTCCAAAGTGTCTTTGTAAGCTGGGGGCTAAATGTGAAAGTCAGCATAGGACACAGAAGAGAGGCCAGAAAGGCAAATGTCCATGCTAAACTGTGAAGACTGAGCAAAGTGAGAATCAACATGTTTTTACTCCCTGAGAAGTTTTGATATATGATATGTCTAGGAAAAACCTTAAACCTGATATTTTGAGAGTCCTGTAGGCAGAATCCATACTTCCCATTGCTTCCCATGCTTACCACAAACTGTCTGTTGTCTCCAGCCATCCATACTGACTCCTTGCTGCTGACAGGCCAGCACATATTCCTCCAGACTGCGACACAAGGTAGTGACCTCATCTCCTTCCACACACATATCAAACAGGCAGCTCCTATGTGCAACATGAGAAAACATTAATTTCCAGTACATTTGTTATTGCTTATTTTCATCTGCTTTTCTGCCTGACTCTGAGTTAGTTCTGTGTTCCAGTATCTGCCTGACAGGAAACAGAGGAATAAAAAGCACCCCAGACACATAATTGGAAGATCAGGTCATTTGTTGTGCAGCTGCTGCTAATATGTGAGGTGTTCATATAGAATCATAGATCATTAAGTCTAGAAAAGACCTCTAAGATCATCAGGTCCAACCTTTAACCTAACACTGCCAGGTCCACCACTAAACCATGTCCCTAAATAAAACATGTTCCTAGTGTGCAACCTAGACCTCCCTTGGAAAAAGCAATAAACTTACCTGATTTAACACAATCAGCTATTCTTTGCTATCTGCTTCTGTTTTGAGCTACATCTTGCTTGTAGAGCACTTTTTAGCACTGCAAAGTCTTACAGCTGGCCTACACACTTCTTTCAATACGTGGGTACCCTCCCCATGTCCACGTGCCTTAAATATTGACACAGAATGCTGTTTTACCCAGTGTTTGTTTGCCAGTGCTACTTTCTCAGCTTTGCTCATCATTTGAATATCTGTGGCCTGATTTTCAGAGGCACTGAGATCCAAGATGAATCGAATCTGAGAATATGCAGTGCGTCAGTAAGATCAGGGCACTGCTAGGCAGGCAGAACAGGCTGCCCAACCAAATTCTAGAGTGAGGAGAAAAGTTATGTTAAGAATCAGCATATATACAGTGATCCACTTTATTTGGCTTAAGATACTGTAACATTCTTCTCACAGATAAGAGGTGGGCATTGTCTGTCTTTAAACACTAGGTACAAGCATGTAACTAAAGAAAACTGGCAGCTACTTGGCATATTTGTGACTAATGACGGATGAATGATGAATGTGGGGATGAATACAGCTCAGAATTAAGTATGTAGAAATTGTATAGGTAGGAGGCAGAGCAACCCTGAAACACAGCAGAGGGAACTTTCTTAAAGATACTGGGTTAGTTACTCCTCACTACTCTGGTTTTTGTACTTCTCCATGAAAAATTCAAGAAGCATCACTGGCAGCTTCAGCTTTTGGCTATAGCATGATGTAGATTTTATGAAACTAGAATTGCTTAAAGGAAGCCAATAGACCTAGGTGCTAAATTCTCACTGAATGTAGAGGAGAACTGTAGGCACACTGGAAATCCCAGGTTACAGGCATAATGCTTAACACTGCTGCTTTATCTATATGCAAAAAGAGGAAAGCTACTTTATAGAGCTAAGAGAGAAGTAAACTCTTAAGTAGATGAAAGAAAGGCCATCACATTTATGTAAAAATAAATAAGGGGATGTAAATATATTAATAATGGAATCACTGGGCCCAGTTCTCCAAAGACACTTATTATCCTCAGCTCCTGTTAATACCCTGGAGACTGAAGATGCAAAGTTCTTGTCAGAAACTATCGCCAAAATGATTTTGCAAATGGGGAGAACAACTGTCTGCAGTAAACACTTACGTGAAATAGAAATCCGGTAGGACTGTAGAATGACACTTTGCAAAAGGACCATTCAAGTCAGTCAGGATTTGGCATCTTGAAGTTGTATTTTGCTGCTCCAGCTGATTTTCGTTGCAACCTTGGAAAAGCCCTGGATCTGGCTCCTCCTCAGACTCATTTTCTGAGTTGACATCTCGTCTATAAATGAAGTCATTATGAAACCATCAGTATTCTGTGTACATCCAGCATTCATGGTACTAGTCTCTAAGTAACACTGCAGGAATACTTCTCCCTCACAGTGTAAATGTAAGCTTATTTATCTCTCATGATTTATCCTGAATGGGAAGGACATAGATGTAGCAAATCAAAGACACACTGGAACACTTCCTACGATCTCAGAGATTTATGGTATTTAAATTAAAAGGGATGTCTGTAGTTCTCTCTTTGGAAATTCTGCATGACACAGAACGCCTCCTTCATCCAATCTATTCAACAAAATTGGAATGTTAGTCAGAAGGATACAGCTGAAATAAACCCCTGTTCCAGGGGAAGGACTGACATTAAATCAGGATTGCACTTGCTCAGGCCCATCTGGTATATCATGTACTGTTTTTGCCAGCAACCGTGAGCTTGGCAAAGATGTTTTTTATTCCTGTGCCCCAGCAGTTGTAATGGCTGTGACTCCAAAGAGGGATACTGAACTGCAGTAATGCAGTAATTCAGGCCTCTTTTTGCTAGATAGAAAGGCACTGAGAGTTCACCTTAGTGATGAGCAGGAAAAGTCCCTACACACAAACAAAGGGAAGAAGAAAAACCAGAAATAAGACAGTGTAATTATTCCTGGAGGTTAACTGTGGCTTAATTCACTCACTTCTAGAGGCAGTACTTGCCATGGATATTAAGTAGAAAAACAAGTACCTGAAACGAGAGCTTCTTTTTAAAGGAACTTTCCAACTTTCACCGAATACATTCACGTTCTTCACCCAAACACCATTTGGATTTGTGAAGTCATTTCTATATCTCCCATCAAAGTCACCACACAAGCCTTCCACTCTGCCTCCGTAGGTGTTGGCCAGCTTTATATCTAGGGAAGGTCAGAAGAAAAAAAAAGCTGTTACACAGAAATCATTGCCTCTGAGTGTAGGAAGAGGTGGAAAACAATGCCAAGTGCCACATTTTATGACTCAGATTGAAGTTCGTAACATGACATGGGTTTCACATGTAGCATGTGAGCACAGCCCTGAACATACATGTTCATACACGTATTCACGGGACTGTTTCTGTGCTCTGCAACATGGATCATGAAAAAAGGAATTTCTTGCAGTAATTTCTTATAATATGTTATTACATAACACAACATCATTGCCCAAATGCTCTTAGTGCATGCTGCTTACTGCTTTGCAGCAAACTGAATGCATCACCCACCTTTTGCCCTTCACTTACAATCCACTTGACCACTGAGAAACGGAATTCCTACAAGCAGACTGTTTCTTTCTGCAGTTGGAATTTTAGGGTTGGGAATGAGGGTCATGTAAATAAATTGCCTGGCCCTTTCACCATACACTTAGAAATAAAATAGCTATATGGTGTTGTAAATTAGGATTAACTTTGGAATGAAAACATTTTTTGAGACAGTGCATAAATATTTCTGCACATTTTTTTAAATATCACTTACCTGCATTTTGATTGCCATCAAAGCTCACATATAAGCCAAAATCTGTCTCTAGGTAAATTCTTGTTGTCCTCTGATATATATGAATACCTTCATGAGGTCGAAGAGGGGGTCTCACACTGACACCATCCAACTAACAGGGAAATAAATTAAAATTCATTATATGTAGGCCAAATTATATCTGGCTTCAGTACAGGTTAATGCTACAAATCAACATTTCTTGCTTTTCATGATAAATGTATCAGATAATTTAACCAGTAAAAAACTCAGTATTTAATTTTTTAAAGTTAACAAAATCATATATTGAGGAAAGTAATCTAGACACAGTACTTTCATATCATCATAAGAGATTTCTATTATTGAGCTTAAGTGAATATAGGGGCTATGTATATTCTTACACACCAATAAAGGGGAAGGAAATTAAATTATCCTAGCATAATTCACACTTTTCCCTACCACTGATAAAAATTTGTGTGGCTTTATTTTAAGCCTTGGGATATTTGGTGTTTTATTCCCAAAACTATTTATACGTTTATTTGTTTGAAGCAGAATCATATCCTTCATAGCTATGGAGCAAAAAGACTCAACACAACTGAAAATCTCATTTGTGGTTGCCTCATAGCACTGCTGTAATAATACAGTTTAGTACTTTAGTACTTTAATTCTTCAAAACAAACATTTATTACCCAGAGGTATTTTACTCCAAGGGAGAGTCTTTCTCCGTGCTCTGCTGTCAGGGAGAAACTTACCAGAACCTGCTTGTTCTGCCTGAATCGCACTGTGTGGTTGTAAACATTGATGAGAATCTCTTTCAGGTAGGTAATGTGCCGATTTAGACGTAAAGGAGAGTTCATGCCTTCAATGCTGAACTGTGTGAGAGTATCAGGTAGGTCAGGGATGGTCTGAGCCACAATATACGTGTATTTCCCTTGGAAGTGGTGCACCAGACCGTCGAAGGTGGTGTAGTGTGGGTCGCCCAGGATCTGGCATCTTCCAAAACCTAAAAGGGAAGAGCTTCATTACTGTCCAGTTTAAATGTGCGTGTGCCAGATCCCACGCATAGATTGGTTCAAAATGGTAGGTAAAAATTGTTGCTGCTAGCATGCAGGTCTGAAAGTAAAGATGGGTGCTCAGGCATCACCCTAGTGAATGAACACTGAAACAGAGAGATGGACAGAAAAACTCATTCCTCTGCTGAGAACCAGCGTGAGCCAGATGAGCTGAAGCAGAACATTAGAGTTTATAGACATTATAGAGACTAAGTTGTGCATATTGGCCCTCTGCTGCCACACAGCATGGCTTGCAGTGGGCTCTTAGAGATGTCTATTTCATAAACCTCAGCCGTGCATTGCTACAAAATTGAAAAGCAATGTCTAACTTTGGCTTGCTCACTGCTGTCACTGATTTCCTCTGAGGTTACTAAAATGGATGATTGGGTTCACCAGACCTAACAATCAGATGCAGTGACTATCGTCTCTGTGTTCTCCTTGACCACTGAGCGCAGAGTAAACCATTATACCAGGAGCAAGGCTATCCTTAAGACTGCTGGGGTGCCTGTGCTCCGGTATTTTGCTAAAATGTAGCAGGGGGACACTGGATTTGCATTATGCTTTTGTGCTGATACTCAATACACTATGATTGATGACATACTATTCTTCAAAACTGAAGTGCAGACGCACTAGGCAATAAGCTGTCTCCCAAACAACCCAACTTACCTAGAGAATATAGGTTTAACTTTGCTTAGCCAAAGCAATATTGAACAAAAGTACAAAGTTCTTTGACTGGCCTATTATGTATCTGTTCAGATCTGCTCTGTATTGGATTTTGTTTATTGATTTTTTTTTCTGTTCTCAAATCAACATGCAGTGAATTTTTTCTTAAATTTATTTATTTATTTAAACTAGTCAGATCGAACTAGATTTCTAGATATAAGTAAATTTTCATACCCGAGTATCCATTTCCCTCTACAAATTCTCTGTATGGAGCTGGAACCTTTTATTATGAGAACTGAGGCTTTTTATATTCAATAATGTGTCAATAACACGGTCAGAGTTTCCTTCTTTCCCCTTGAAAGTCTGGAGTTGCCATGGAATAAAGAATGGGCACACACATTCTCCCTCCTTCTCCAACCCTCATGAAATACCAAATGAAGACTTGCTTGCATGTACCTGTTGGCTGGCACTTGTGTTTTCCATTTTTGATCACACAGGTTTCTCTAGAATCACAGCTATAGCTCTTACAACTGATGACACCGTTCTTCTGACACTGGCATCTTCTAGCGCAGTGTGGAGTTATCCATGTCTCCCCAGCCTAAACACAAGTTATGATGATAAGATGTTATCAAGGTGTTCAGCTTTGCGATGCAATAAAAGTTCAATAGCTAAGGGTGTGGGGACAGGTTAGGTGCAGCCTGTCCAGTTGGTGATTCCACAAAGGCTCAATCCAAGCGTAGTCTCACCAAGAGTGTGGGAGTGGGGATCTCAGTCCATTTATCTTATTGTCTTTGACATGAGAATTTGAACACAAAACAGGATAGGAGAGACTGCCTGCATATCTCTGATCAATTGACTGTTTTCAAATATGCCTGAGTTTTGGCCTCAGGTGCAAAGTACAAAGCAAGCTTCTGCATCTCCTAATACCCAAGCCTGCGGCTTTTACTCATCAGATGAAAGGTATTTAAGAGGTAGACCCTGAAGACTTTGATCTTTCTCTCTCTCTCTCATATTAAGATGGTCAGGAGACCAACTTTCTACAGAAAAGCCACAGATTTTGAAGCCACAGATTTGCTCCACAAACTACTTACACTGTAGTAATTGTTGTCATCATCCCTGCAGCCACAACTGCTCAGAGGTACACAGTTGCCATTACTGAGCACATAATTATCATCACACTCACAGCCCTCTGTACACTCTTCTGTCTTGTCACAAAGGGAAGAGGCAAAAATGTCATTGCATGTTGATGGGCAGGCAGAGACACAGTCCTTGTAATGGCTCCGGGATGGGCAGGGCAATGCTGTGTGGGAGAATAGGAGCAGCGTTATTAAATACATTTACAAAGTGCACTGCAAACACTGAAAGCTACACACTGGCCTATGAAATGGTAGTGCAGAGTTGCCTTTTAATAGTTGATTTTGATGATCAACCAATTTTTATTTTTGTATTTTACTTAAAAAAACCCAAACTAACCAAAACAAAGCAAAGAACCCTTTCCGGAGCTGCTCATGCAGTTTTATTACAGGTATGCCTGAACTGGTGGCACCTGGCACTAGATCATTCAGGTTCAGTGTTCCAGTTATGCTGCAAATGCCTCTTTGGGCACTGCTAGAAATGTGAATCTTAAGGGCAAATATCTTAGAATGTTCCACCCTCCATTGATGCAAACCAAGTGTAAATTTAGCTTAACCACAGACATAAACACATGCAAGGTATGCACTGCACTTTCACACTGCAGATTCATCCAGCTCCACACCACATTTCTGCCAGTGACTAGAGACGCATAAGGGGACAGTTCAAGAAACGGGCTAACATGACAAAAGGTTTGCTAGTCCAGTATTTTCCTCTACTTGTGGCAAAAAGGCAACTAGGGATTTCTGATAGATCTATTCAACATTCATCTGGCTTGTTTTTTAACCAGTTAACTGTTTTGTCCTCCACAACATTATGTGATAATCCCACAATATGATACTAAATTGTGAACCCCCCCCAAATAAACCCCCCACCACCTGATCTTTATTTATTTTTGCATAATTAGTTTGTAGCTTTGTTGAATTGGTGGAGTGAGGCACATACCCTGGAAATTAATCCGAGAATATGGCCTGTAATAAACAACTGGGCAAACTGACAGTTTTCATTCAAATCACAGTGAGTGGCATTGAGCCCTGTGTCCTATCACAGTATCCAACTTTCTTTTAGTCTTCTGGTTCTATTATTTCTCCATTTCAGGCTCACTGCAATATCTCATGGCACTCATATGGCTACTAAAACCATTCTAACTCCACATTAGTATCCATAGCTTGCCTAGTCCTGAGTTATCACTGGGTTTATATGAACCTGAACACAGTCCAGCACAGCAACGGAATCATAATAGTAGAATTGTGTTTTGTGAGAATTTGGATTTATTTTCCTTTGACATAACTTATTCCCATAATTCTGCTTATTTGTTTTCATACTATCAGTCATCCAAGTTTCAGTTTTTTCCCTTGCTTGTGCACTTACGACAGAATGTGTTATTCCTCCATTTAATGGTGATTCCATGGTTCTTGCAGGTCTCCACATAGGCTTGAACTATGTCGCAGAGAGCAGACTTCATTCCATCATACTGGCACATGTCATAGACGCAGATCTCTACAAAGTCTTCAGGGTTGACTAGATTATGGCATACTTTGAATTTGTCTGATTTTAGGACATTACACTGGCTTTCAATGACTTGTTTATTCTCAGCAGTGCAAGGGGGATCATCATCTTCTCTTAAGTCTGGTAAGCAACTGCAAGAAGGCACAGACACAGGCATCTAAGTTCCAAAAGCATGCTGAAGACATAAAAATTGAAAAGTTTGTTTCTACTGTGAGGTAGAAAAGGCTAGAGACTACAGTCTTCCTTCTGCCTGACTGAAAGACTAGGCAGAATTAGACCTGCCTGACAACCAGCATGCTGTGTCTGACACTTGTTACTCTCACTAAACTTGACCCTGACTAGAGGATTGACGCACAGCTTGATCTTGGATCTGTCTCATCACTGCAAATTCGTGTGGTGATCTGGACTGAGCCAGGCCATTGTTTTTTCAGCTGTGTTATCAAATATGACTTCCTGCCCCCTAGGGAGCAGCTGGTCCTCACCATTCCCCAGCACCATCATCTGGCTCTGGGTGTTATCAGTGTAAAATAGACAGAGGCTGTGTACACACTGTGGAGTGCCCCAAAGACTAATTCCCAAGTGTGTGTGTCGATTGATAGAATGGCTGTGGGTTCCCTCTGGCCTGTACAGTGATTTCCTGTGGGGATGGCCCTTTTTTGGGCTTCAAATTCAAGAAGAGAAAAGTCACACGCGCTGCTTACATGTTACAAAGTAGCAGACAGTCAAAACAACTGAAAACAATTGACTGTTTTCTGAAGCAAGATGGAAGGTATGAAAAGACATTAATATTTACCCCTTATCACTGTCTTTCTCCACTTTCCAGCTATTTCCAAACTGTGTGGCACTGACGACTGTTCCATTGGGCAAGGACAGATCATCTTCACGATTATCATTGAAATTACCACACATGCCATGCACCTGCAAACAAAAAAGAACCATATTCTAAGCATGACCTGTTCACATCAACTTCCCCAATAACTTTTTATTCATTGCCTATGAAATAAAGGGACCAAATCAACAACAACAAACAATCTTGTACCAGACTTTTTACACATTCCAAATGCACCCATAGAGAAACAAAACAGATATTGCAGTAAATCTGTGATTCTCTAAGGCTTCAAGGTATTTATTTCTCTAAGTTAGATGTATTCCTCTAGCCAGGTAATTTTCTTTAACTATCCCCTTGGAACACAAGGAAATTCTTGTGAAGAGAAAAAAATAGAAAGGAAAAAATTGTCATGTGTTACAATACAACTACAAAGAAAGATGCAATAGCAAAATGCAAGAATAAAAGGAATTAGAAGTAAATGCAGAAAGCAGTAGTTTTGAAGAGCCAGATGTTTGCACACTAAATCTTACCTGTGAGAAATAAGATTGTGGGAGGGTGATTTCCAGATGGTGATTGCCGTCATATTTCACTATCACACCAAAGTCAGTTTGCACTACTATAAATCTGCCAACATTTCCAATGGACACACCTTGCAGTCGGTTCTCCACTGGAGTGTAGACTCTCTCATTGTTCAACTGGAGAGACATGTCATTTTGTCAGTATGGACATTGTTCTATGAAAGCTTTTCTGCCCACAGTCTATAGTTCTAGCAGTGCTGAAGATTTCTATGTGACAGTTTTAGCTGTTTACACTTCCACCATTGCATATTCCAACTGTGAGTTGCAGGAATAAGCCTTTTAGCTGAGGAGAGATGGGCAGGACTCGTATCCTGTGCCTTTAACAGGGAGCTGAAAAGATCACTGGTAGTGAGCAAGCTCTTACTCACCCTTAGGGTAGACTCCCTGCCTCCAGTACTGCCATGGATCCCCATGTTGTTCTAAACTGATACAGTATGACTTGCCTTTCCTCTGCTCTTTTTAGCTCACTACAGGTGATTGGCTTGACAAGAGCTGTTGAAGTGGGGAGTCCCATACTTTAATTCAAGCAACAGTTCTCCAATCTGGAGGCTCTGGGCTCCATCTCCAAGACATGACCAAAAAAACAGTAAACCCAAACCAGAAGCCTTGGGAACTGCTGAGAAATTATATCTGCTTGTGATATCCACTTAATGGAGTTGCCCACAAGTATTAAGCATATGTGTACACATTCCTTAGGAAACATGAAGATCCTTTTTCCTACAGCTACTGTAAGTGAGCTAATTTTAAGATACTTCTTGCCAGAGTAAAGAGCACCCCCACCTACCAGGATTCCTTGGTTTTTCTGAAGGGTGATTCGTACACCATGCACATCTATATAGACTTCTTTCAGGTATGTGGCCCCTCTCAGTCCTCTGTCTTCATTCTTGCCCAGTATGGTTATAGGAATGACATTGGTGGCAGTGTTGACAACCTCAACCAAAGTGTAGGTGCAGGTTCCCACGAAAGTGTACTTCATTCCATCAAAAGTGAAATAATGGGGATCTCCTACCACTTGACATGTTGCTTGACCTGAATGTGAAAAAAATTATCTAAGAACTTTGTACTGGACTTAGTCATGGAGTCAGCTGATAAAGGAGTTTGCATAAGTGTAACAACCTAATCCTGATAAATATTATTTGAGCAAACTTTCACAGAGGCATCTCAGGTTCATACCAATGACATTTATTTGAAAATAAGAAATTTCTAGAGAGCACCTCCTAAATTTAATTTGCAAATTACCTACAAAATGACAAACTGGCATCAAATGAACTTTTGTATATATTTCTATATGCTGTTGCAGCTACAATTTATGGTATTTGAGAGTAATACAGAGCTTTTCTAATTATGTATGCAAAAATATAGAATTATCTGTATAAATATGGGTGTAAAAGTAAATAAAATTGCATCTGTATATATCAATATGTAGTACACTCATCATAACCCAGACCCACAGAAATGCAATTTTCAATTTTCTCAAGTTTATAACTTGCAGTACTGGTGATGTGGGACATGAATTTTCATTATCAGGACAAACAGAACCCAAGTGACCTTGGAAACTTTTGGGCATCATCAGTTTTTGCTGATGTTCACTGCAAAGTAAGGGCCTTTGTGCTTGCGAGACAGATCATCGTATTTCCAACTCTTAGCAATGGCAGCAGTCAGTTGGGACTTCTTTACTACCACATAGGAAGAGACATTCATAACAAAGTTAGAAAGAGAAGAGGATCTAACTATAGAATTGACATTGGAATGATTTTCACGCAGGACTTACCATTGGAATGACAGCCCAGCACACCATCCTGAATACTGCATTCCTCTTGGACTCCACACTCCCAGGATGTGCATTCAATGGTGTTATTAGCCTTGCAGGTGCAGCGTTCAGTGCAGGGATAATGGGTGAACCAGCTTTCATTCAGCTGAGTGGAAAAAAGTGTATAGAATTATATACTATAAGATAAATAAAATGTAAAACTGTAAGGAAATAAAATTATCAATATTTGAATGTGCATGATATGTGATCATTTGGGCAATTGTAGCCACACAGCTCATGGATCAAGAAGGTTGGCAAAGTAATTCTATTTTGAAATTTTTAATGGTGTAAATATTAAATGTGTAGTGTTATTAACATGTTTTTTCTCTCACAGCGATAAGGAATGAGATTCTCCCCCTCTGCCTTTTTTTTACTTAATTTATTTATTTACTTAAATGCCTGAGGTAACTTGCCTGGTGATACTGGTTCTTTTCATCAACACAACCACAGCTGCTTTCCGGCACACATTTGTCTCCACTCAAAACATAGCCTTCCTTACAGAAGCAACCTTCCACTGGTAAAGAACTGCAGGAATCAGCTGCTGAGATGTTCAAACAGGTAGAGGGACACCTAGTACCACAGCTCTTGTAGATGCTGCCTCCAGGACAGGACATTGCTAGATAAAGAGGAAAAATAAGATCACTCTAAAGGGCAAAACTGTGGCAAAAGTTTTCCTGATTCTTTCACTGTTTGCTCCTGAAAATACACAAAATTGCTGTTAGAAAGCCTGACACAGGACAGTGCTGAATACAAAGGAGTCTCTTTCCGTGTGAGATGGGTGGCTTTTGGTAAAGGTGGGCAAGACACGTGGGCCACCCTTGCACTTAACCTCACAACAAAGTCAAACATTGCAGGCCTGTGTCGAGGATAGGTCTGATGTCATCATACATGATAACCAATTGTGTTTGGTTCAGTAAACCTTTTTCTGCTGGTTTGAAGGCATAAAGTCACTCCATTAAGGGAATAGAAAAATCTCTACCCATACCGGCTGATATGTCCCCGTTACTGTTGTTACTCTTTGAACATCTGCCATGTATTTTAAAATAAAACTGAAAATCACAATCTGTCTTTCACTCAGAACCCTTGAGGAAAATATATTATATTTTCACACCCCTCCTGCTCATGGTAGAATTGGGTTTCTATCACTTAAAGCATGGTCCCCAGGGATAATATTACATTTTACAGAAATCTAGAAGCATTTCTCTGTTTCTGTCATCTAAAAAAACACAGATAAATTGTTTCTGGCTAGATTCTGTGATAAATCACTACATATGATTCTCTTTTACCTTGTCTGTACACAGGATCTCTTAGTCTTGTCAGACAATTACAGCCAACATATCCAGTCATCTAGCCAGAGTACCTGCCCTTGGTCAGGTTCTTAGTTGAGTTTTTGTTTGAATCACTGACGGAGAGAGCACTTGAGAATCAATCTTTCTAATGTTACTGAATCTTCTCCATCATTTTAATCAAGCCATAGATATTTAGCTCCTGGGCTTTGGCCGCAGACTATGGACTCTGGATGTCCATACCTCTAATCTGATTTGGAGGGTTAGAAGCTCATTTCTTGCTCTGTCTTCCTTTTATATATGAATTCTCTGTGCTCTGTCCTCCCAGGGCTGACTTACTGGGTGCTTTAAAACCATTCTAAAATGACATTCTAAAATCAACATTCTAAAATCGTCTTTTCCCAAACTTCTAGAATCTATAATTTTTCATGGTTCAGTTTCAATGCAGAGCTAATTCTTGATCACAGGAAAAAAAAAAGAAAAAGAGGTGCAGATTTGCAGTGGATAATACAGTGGTACTGGTATAATAAAATTTAGTATAAAAGGCAAAAACCCCATAGAGAACAAATATGATTTATTTATTTGTGATTGGCCTTTAGAGGCCTTCTTTTTTTTTTTTTTCCTGTCCAGGTGTGGACTTCATGGGCATAAAGGTCCATTAGAAGGTGCTGCCCAGAGAAGCTGTGGATGCCCAATTCCTGGAATTGTTGAACGCCAGGTTGGATGGGGCTTTGAGCAAGCTGTTTTAATGGAAAGCATCCCTGCCCATGGCAGGGGGCTGGAACCAGATGATCTTTAAAGTCCCTTCTAACCCTAATCATTCTATGGTTCTCTGATTCTATGTTTGGTAAGCAGAAAACTATCCAGTGTTGCTTAAAATCAGCATCAATGGAACCCTTGGAAGCTTTATTCTAAGAAATATGAGTTCATTACATCAAATTTCCCATAAGGACCATTCTGAAGAGAATTAGTTGGGAGATAAGTGATAATACTCGATTTCTTTGCCTTAGAAAGAAATACTTGCAAATTTCCTAGAAACAGCTGCTTTTCAAAGTCTCTTCTTAAACTATTTTTTTTAATCAAAAGCCATTGATAAACATTGGTGTATGGAGGACTACAGGCTCTGCTTACATTGAGGATGGTAGATTTTTAATGAAGCAAAGCAACAGTTATTTCTCCGGTGCAGAAGTTCAGGTAAGATATGGCTGAATGTAATCAAAGTTTCCAAGAAAATAAAGCAAATTTTTAAAACTTTAAGGATTTAATCTGCATGTATCCAAATGTTCTTGAAAATTAGTGTTTTCTACAAGTACTGGAATGGTACTGAATCTGAAGCAGGATAAAAGACAGACTATGCTCAGAACATTACATAAAATGAAATAATGTGCATGAAGAGGGTAGAGGACAATGAAGTTAAAATCCAGAATAGATGTTTATATCAAAACACTCACGGCAAAGAGTAGGATTCCTCCACTCTATGCATATGCCAGCATTGATACATGACTCAGCATAGGCCTGTAGTCCATAGCATAAGGATATTGCCTGTCCACCAGTGAAACACATGTCATAAACACAGTTTTCAAAGAAATTCTCTGGAGGCACTCTGGTATGACAGTCCTTGAAGATTCCTGTGTAAATCAAAAAGATATATAGAAGGATAGAAAAAACCCAACTGGAATGATAAGATCACAACTGCCATCTATTTTCTGTCACAACAAACGTATTGTGAGTGCTCCAGGCTAACTTTGTTTAGTAAATTAAACCAGCACTTGAAATGGATGCACAAGGCAGAATCAGAGTGAGCTCTCTGGATCAGGTTTTCTTCTTTTTGCAAGATCAATACAACATAGGTTACATAAACTAAGTGTTGCTGCCTAGGAAAACCACTAATTCTTGACAAGTACAGGGACTGTCCAATGCAGGGAACATGTACAGAATTTTAGTTAAAGTATCTGTAATACATACAGTGCCCTCTGAACTACTCTTCTAGCAAGCAGAGTGCAAGTCACTATAAAGAACAGAGCAGTTCCCTGAACATATCCTGAGATATCCTTCATGGACACATGGGCACTGTCTGAACAGATGACATATCCTGACTGAGCACCTATGAGTTTTACATTGGCCATTTACACTGGAGATTTTATATGCTTCCAGTGCGAGCTCAGAAAAACAGACTATAAAGAAGGGACAAGAGAAACTGTAACATGTTCCATCATATGGCTCACAGAAAACTACCAGCATGTTACCTGTTGGGTCTGTGATCATGCCACATGCTGTGTTCTTCTTTGCTTCACTCTCCAACACAGGATCACACTGCTCTTCTGTCCCACCACTGGAGCATCTGGGGAAAGCAAGCAGAATCAAATGTGTGTTTCTCATCATTTACTATCAGATTTTCAGTGGAAGATTGACACATGACAACCCTGCACAACAGAGTGTACTTTATGTCAGTCACAAGACTTCATCCAGCTTCTTTGAAAAGCTGATGTCAGCCCTCTCACTGAATGGGCTCATTTTTTTGATCCCTTCTGGGCTATTCAAAGGCTTATTCTTAGCTGAAAAAAAAGACTTATGGAATCCAAACAGTTATGGTTTCCAATTAGGGAACTGGACTGAAGTCCCATCCCCCCTCACACTCAACAGACAGTTCCTGCTTTGGAAAACAGGACTTAAAGGACATAACTCTCTTATCATTCTCTGGTTTACACAAAGGTACAGCTCCCTACTTCTAATGGGCAGCTGGAAGACGTGGAATGGTACTGGATGATAAAGCCAGCAAGCAAGTGGATGGCTATTTGATTTTAAAGAGTTTGGTTAACAAATGCCATGTGATTAAATTATTATACATACATGGTGTTATTCTCAGGCACAAGCCAGCTTTCTCCAAGATCCGTAGAACCACTTGCAATAGCACCATTGGGCTTTATAATGTCATCATTTGGATCACCATTATAATTACCTGGGAAGGTAAAAGGAGATTTATGGGACACATGAAGTTCAAACCTGTAGAACAACACTAGGTTTCAGGCTGTAAAATAAAGTAAAATCTTATAGGGAGAGTATATATGCAACATCAATGTGTACTGGGCAAAATAAGAAGAGCAGAATTGTGTTTTAGACTTTGACTGACAAGAGCTGCCATTCAGACACTTGTGGACTTGAAGCAGGAAGTCTGTAAGCTCCTGTGTAACCAGATTACATTGCACCCAAGAAAGAACTTCTGAGCTAAAAAAAAAATTCCCAACTCATTTTCTTGTTTCCTATACATAGAATGTTGGACTAAAAATTACACAGTGCTATTTGCACCACTATATTCTTAGGTAGATTTCCTGCATTGAGAGCATGAAAAACCCATGGAGACATAATAGAACTAGGAAGTTCTAGATGATCCAAACCAAAGAATAATCAGAAACGTAGTAGTCTAATGTTTCTTCTTTTTCTTCTTTTCTCATTCTTTTGATTGTTTAAACGTGATCATTCGGGTTGTATAAATGCCTTCTAAGAGCATAGAAAAAGAGAAGCAGGAAAACTTGAGGATGCTGACAGTAAGACATTAAAGATTTCTCTCTGCTGTGCAAACAGCCTCAGATTTTTATAATTCACAAAATGAAATGGTATAGCGTTTCCCACAGAACAAAAGACAAATACATCAGAATGTAAATAACATAAAAATGTATTTGTAGAATTCTTAAATAGCTCCATGCAAAAAATTACTCTTCTTAATTTTAAACTGTAGAACTCAAGGCAATTTTTTTATTTGGTTAAAAGTTTATACCTCACAACATTTAGTTATACCTCACAACATTCCAAACGGATATCATGTTACCAGGAAATTTTTAAGTTCTTCTTAGAAACTGAAAAAGTCTAGCAAGTTTTTTCAGTGCTGTAAATTCTAGTCCATTTGACAGGGACCAGTTTTGTGTTGAATAAGTAGGACACACTAAAAAAAAAAAGCAGAAGTAATCACTGGCCTCCACAACTCACTAAAAAATGACTAAGTCAACAACTTACCACAGAGGCCACAGAGCAGATGACTGTAATTAGAGGGCACGGAGACTTCTGCATAGTGGTTTCCATCATATCTCACCCACAGTCCAAAGTCAGTTTCCAAGAGAACATATCCACCACTGCTTTGAATACTGATTTTCTTCTCAATAAATACAGGCAGGTTCATTCTGCGACCATTCACCTGTACAGCAAATTGTAAAAGTTAGTGCATGACTGCTGGGACTCCTACAACTACCAGCAGCTAGTACAGATTACTGAAAGATATGATCTTGTGCACAGAGGAACTGGAAATAATTAAAGAACATTTAATCTGAGCAAGTTTGTTGGAGATCTCATTAAAAGAGGTACGTGTCATTAATAAAAAGAGAAAGTCTGCTATAAACTCTACAGAGGAAATATTTTATTATTGGCATGTCAGTTAAAAATATGTTATATATCTCTTTTAATCAAGTCTTTTCTTACATTCACTTTCTTGTTTTTCAGTAGAGAAATCTGGTTGTCATAGACTTCCACTTGCACTGACTTCACATAAGAGACTTTGGTGTTGGCTCCTCTGTGCTCATTTGTTGTGGACACATCAAAGTATGGAAGCTTCTCAGAGACATTGCACACTTTGGAGAGGGTGTAAGTGCAATTTCCCATGAAATTATGGACTCTATGGTCAAAAGTGTTATAATGTGGATCTCCAGAGGCGCTGCAGGAAGCACGGTCTGTGAAGACAGAAAAACAGACTAATTCCCTCCGAATCTTCACCAGATTTTTGCAGTTGCTTGGTTTCCACTTTGTTTGTTTTACTTCGTATTTGCTGCTCTGATATAATATTGACAGCAGCAGCACTCCAAAGGCCAACCCAGTCTTCTACCTTTGGACCTATAAAAAACCCTGTACTCTTGTGTGTCAGAAATCTATGCTAGAGGTTGAGGAACAAAGGTGAGTAAAAGGCTTTGATATAAAAAAAAAAAGCACTGCTGTTAAGACGTCATTATACAAACTGTAGCAGTGAGTTTTTAGTGTCCATATCTGAAAGGCTATTTCTGACTAAATAGGAAGAATTTCCTTAAGATCTTTACAGTGTTGGTTAGCCAGAACAGCTGCACTACCAGCTGTCTGGATTTCGGTGCTCACGTCATTTATAGAACTTATATTGAACATTGCATACACAAGATATCCTTTACACACTTAAAAAAAATATAAAAGTTAATTAGCCAGTGATGATATGTATAAATGGAAGTACACTGTGTGTTCATTGAAGTGTGTAACGTGGAGAAGATTTTGAATGTTTATAAGAAATTCCCATTTTGAAGAAAAAAACTTCCCATCAACTCTTAACAGAGTTGAGCTTGAAGGTTCTTCATGGTGCTTCCCAATAACAAAAAAAGATAAAGAAAGAGATCCTTTCCTCTTTGTTTTTCAATGGCATGTTAAAATGTAGCTACACTTACAGTTGTTGTCTACGTGTGAAGCTTAACTCCTTACACAGAAAGTAGTAATGCTCCCAGAATGACATACTTAACAATTACCAAAAAAAAGCAGAAGAAATCTAAACTGATTAGGTGAGCTAGGACTCTCTTGTATTTAACAAGCAGATATTAGGGCTTAAATTTGGAGGAAAGAAGCAATTAAAATTTATCAAAGGGTATTTTTGTATATATCCTAAATATTAAACTAGCACTAATTGCACTGAATCAGACTTTGACAGGAAAATACAATTGGCTTATATCACCCCCCAAAAATAAAATTTGGAAACTAAATAAAATTTCAAAATATACAAAAAATAACATCTGTATAATAGGTGAAAACTTGCCATAGAAAAGAGTAATTTAAATATTTATGGAAATGGAAATAAAGAATATGCGAGATAACTATTAGATGGCAGGTCTACTTTTACCAAAAAGCCTGGCATTGTGGCAAAAGAGACCTAGAGGAGAGTGTACATAGTCAGAACTCAGAAGGAGTTCCAGGCATAAAGAAATAGTCTGCAAGTGTAACTGGGGGAGCAAGGAAAACTCTGACCCTCCAGTATAAAAACTCTGTCACTTAGCTCTGACACCTCGATTCAGAAAATAGGAAAGTTCTGAGAGCCAGTAAAAGAACAAGATGGGAAACAACAGTACCTGAGCTGGGTATTGGTGTTGTTGGTGATGTTGTGTGGGCAGGCTGCGTTGTAGTGCCTGGCAAAGGAATCGTGGGTGTTGGTGTTGATGGACCTAGGGCAAGAGACAGATAGAGGAGATGTGCAGCAACCCAAACACCAGACCAGTTAAGTAAAACATGAGTGTTAGTGTTAGATTGAAGGTGGGGCCACCTTTTCCCACTGTCACACAGTGCTCACGTACAGCCACATACACCCATGGCATGCCCGTGGCCAGGTGAGGGTGGCCAGCCAAGGGGAAGGGCTTAGCACAGCCAGTAAAAAACATGGATGGGAGATAACCGTACCTGTGCTTGTCCCAGGTGCCGGTGAGGTTGTTGTAGGTGGAGGTCGCGTTGTAGTGTCTGGCAAGGGGGGCGAGGGTGTAGGAGCTGATGAATGAAAGAGAGTGAACCAGAGGTGGAGAAGGTGTGTTTCCCCCAAATGGGGATGTTGCACCCTTCCCAAACACCACCACAGCATGGCAAAAGAACTGTAGGACATGGATTGCACAGTGTCCCCATCCCAAAGAGTCTCTTCAACCGAGGGCTGGCACATCAGGCCAGTGAGGTGACAGGTGGGGAAACCTCCAGCACAGCTGCCCCATTCCTTGAGTCAAGGAGAGAGTCAAGGAAATCAAGGGAGACGGACAGAAGACTTACCACAGACAGTGCCAGCACTCCAGTCTCCCAGGGCAACGCCTGCCTCCGCACAGGCTGTGGCATAGGCCCCCAGGTCATTGCAGAGCTGCTCCGTGCTGCTGCCCGTGGCACACTGGTCATAGACACAGCTCTCAAAGTACGTCTGGGGCGGCAGAACTGCGTGGCATGGCTGGAATGGTCCACCCAGATGCGTGAGGATTGAACACTGCTTGTTAGCTGCCTCTTCCTCGGCAGGGGAGCAGGACACAGGTGGGCTGATGGCTGGGTCACACCTACACAGCAGACAGACAGCCCTGAGCTCACCGCAGCCCCACCATTTCCTGACCTCCTCCCCAGACAAAACCTCAGCTTCCGGAGCCCAGATGCCCCCCTAAGACAGGCACCAACGGTGTCACTTGCAAGGGTGGAACGCACGGCCCATGGTCACCAGTCCCACCCCTGGAATCAGGTGGACAGAAGAAAATGCCTCAGGCTGTGGCGATCCCAACAACTTGGGAAAAGTGTCATGCCCAGGCCCTGGACCACCCTCCCGGAGGTCAAGAAACTGCCTCTTCTCCCTTGGCCCACGCCTGCCATCACCAACCCTTCCTCCTGATGGCCCTCATAGCTCCCCTCTCCCAAACTCCCTCTTGTCCTTCATCTGCAGGATGGATCAGGGACTCACGGCCACTCATCATCCGGCACCATCCAGCTGGCTCCAAAGTCATTGAAGTCGGGCACGACAACTCCATCAGGGCGCATGAAGTCGTCCTGCTGGCTCCCAGTGTACGTCCCACACAGCCCACAGAGCTTGCCCTTGTGCTTCTCAGACACCTTCACGAGGAGCTCGTGGTCCCCGTTGAACTGCAGTTGCAGGCCCAGCTTGGTGGAAACGTGCACGTAGGAGCCGCTCAGGGAAATGGTCACACCGGGGGCAGGAGAAACAGGCAGGGAGACCAGAGCACCGTTGACCTGGAGTAGGGGGAAAGAGGGAAGCATAAAGAGGTGTCCTCTGCTGAGAGGTCCCTGTTCCTCACTGGGGTGGTGCCAGGGCCCAGTGAGTCGGAAGCACTGATGGCATGAGAAACCCTGCCCAGGTCTACGAGGACACCAGCAGGTCTACACACGGCCCACCCAAAGGTCAGGAAACCAGCCAAAAATCTGCGGCTGCACGAGCAGCCACATCTGCCTCACTCAGAGCCTCGCCGTGCTCTTCTGCGAGCACACAGCAGGCTGAGGGAACAGCAAGCTCTCCCTGGGGACAGAGTGGTATTTAGGGATGCTTAGTGCATCTGTGGTTCCCAAGTGTAAAAACGAGGGGCTTACGTAGACGGACTTGCGCTTGCGCAGTGCAATGTGGAGGCCTTCCAGGGACAGTGCCACAGAGTTCAGAGCTGTCCAGCTCTGGCTGCCGCGATGTTCGTTGCGGGTGGTGACACTGAACCCGATGGAGGAGTTGTCACAGCCTGTTACAACGGTGTAGTTGCAGGAGCCCTGGAAGTGGTGAAGCTTCCCATCAAAGGTGCTGTAATGCGGGTCGCCGTAGATGTGGCAGAGCGCAGTGCTGGCTGGGTAACAGCCCCTCTGGCCGTTCTGGATCTTGCAGACCTCGTCCTCGCCACAGGACAAGGCAGAGCAAACCATCTGGCCGTTGGCTTCACACCGGCACCGGCGAGTGCAATTCTCATTCACGGAGTACTCGCCTTCCTGCAGGCAGGGAAACACCAAACGTCAGTGTAGGACACAGGAAAATTGAGGCAAGGGAGTCCCTGGGAGGGGTGCAAACCCGGGCAGGGGTTTCACTCACGCTGTAGTAGTTGTCCTCAAAGAGGCAGCCACACTGGGCCTCGGGCACACAGGTGTCTCCGCTGAGGAGGAAGCCAGAGGTACACGCACAGCCCTCCACGCAGGGCTTGGAGCAGTTCAGTGGGGCTTGTCGGTCAACACAGGTGGCAGGACAGCCGGTCATGCAAGGGTCATAGTAGCTGTTGGAAGGACACTTCAGGGCTGCAATGGGGAGGGGACAATTAGGACCAGCAAGAATCCAAGCAAGGAAGGCCTTCTGGGAGGGGGAAGACCAAAGACTGTCTTTGGCCAGAGGTTCTGGCCAAGGGGAGCGGCACATTTCCCTTCTGGCAACGGCAAGGCAGGTACTCACGGCAGAAGGTAGCATTCCTCCAGGGCAGAAGAGTCACGCCGGCTGCCTGGCACGCGTCAGCGTAGGCCTCCAGAGCAGCACACAGAAACTCCTGGCCACCATTCAGGGCACAAAGGTCATAGAGGCAGGTGTCAAAGTAGCTCTGGGGGTTGATCACGCTGTGGCACTCCTCAAAAGAGCTGGGCCTGCTGGTCAGTATGCCACAGAAGCGGTCCGACTTGTAGAGCTCCTCCTCTTCTGCACTGCAGGGTGGGGAGGGGACGGGGACACCGCAAGAGGGGTCACTGTCTGGGACCTGCCAGCTCTCCCCCAGCGCATTGGAGTCTGCGGCTTGCTGCCCGTTGGGCATCATGTATTCGTCGTCTCTCCGGTTGTTGAAGTTCCCGCACATGCCACAGGTCAGGTTGAAGTAGGTGGTGGGCACCTTCACCTCCACCGAGTGGTCAGTGTCGTAGGACACTCTGAGGCTGAAGTCTGTCTCCAGGACGACGTAGCGGCCGCTCTGGCTCACCGTGATCGCACCTCCCGCTGCCCTCACCGGCAGGGTCTGGCGCAAGCCGTTCACCTAGGGCAGACACAGCACCATGGGCCCTGGACTTGTCCCTGGCCTCCCTGGGGTCTCCTGCCCGGGGAAAGCAGCTGCCAGGCCAGGCACGGCAAATCCCAGCTGCCTGGGATGCCCCCACACCCCACTACCCCTGGGGCCTACAGAGCCATGTCTGTGTCCTGCCCACTGCAGGGGCCTCTGCTCAAAAATGGAGACAGCTGGTACATGCCAGGCCCTGCCAGGAACAGCCAGCCCTGCCTTGCACCCATGCCACGCCCGTGCCAGCCCCGCTGCCTACCAGCACTTGGCTCTTCTCCTGCTTGAGGATGGCAATGCGCTGTCCGTACACCTCAACCAGCACTTCACGCACATAGGACACCCTGGTGTTGCCACGATGCTCGTTCTTGGCCTCCACGTTGAAGTAGGGCAGGGAGGTGGTGTTGGAGCACACTTTGGCCAGGGTGTAGGTGCAGTTGCCCATGAAGTTGTGCGTCACCTTGTCAAAGGTGTTGTAGTGAGGGTCCCCGTGGACGTGACAGATGCCGTAGGAGTGTTCGAGGCACACGGGTTTCCCACCCTGCACCCCGCAGTACTGGCCCGCAGGGCATGAGGCTTCGAAGCACTGGACTTTGCTTCCTCGTGCGGGACACGTGCACTTGGAGGTGCAGGTGTTGTCCGTCCAGAACTCGGAGCCCACGGGGTAGTGCTGCCCGTTGTGCCAACACCCGCACTGCTGGCTGGGCACACATCGGTCGTGGTAGAGCAGGTACCCGCTGTCACACACACAGCCCTCCACGCACGGTAGGCTGCAGGTAACTGGAGCCCTTGGGTCAACACAGGTGGCCGGGCAGGCAGCAGCACAGGGCTCATAGTGACTGTTGGCCGGACAGGTGATCGCTGCAGAAACAGAAGACGCGGCAATTACTTGCAGAACATAACTCAACACTTCTTTTGAGGTATTTTCCCCTTTGAAAAAGTAACGGTCTCCGTTTTCCCTCTGGTCTGCTTGGCTCCAGGTGTGTTCTTAGTCCTACCCAATTAAATGAAACAGAAAATGTGATGGTGCCTCTAATACAGACAACTCCCTGTAAATCCCCTCAGCTCACAGTGAGAATATTTCTCCACCTCACTCTTTCCTTCCTGTCCTGCGTTTTCCTGAGCGTAACGATCCGTGCTACCACGCGTGGACTTACGGCAGAAGGTTGCGTTCCTCCACACGGGTATCTGGACCCCAAGCGCCTGACAGGCATCCGCGTAGGACTGCAAGCTCTTGCACAGGGTCTCCTGGTCCAGCCCCAGCTCACACAGGTCATACGAGCAGGTCTCAAAGTAACTGCTGGGGCTCAGCACAGCGTGGCAGATCTGAAAGGGGCCACTGGTGTCAGTGAGGAGCCCACAGAAGCGGCTGCTGGCGATCACCTGCTTGTCCGTGTCTTTGCAGGCTGGGGTGGGGAGCGGTCCGGCTGAGCAGCTGTGGAAAGACAGGGAGAAGGGTCCCTGGGTCATCTCTGGGCTTCTCCTGCTGCCTCCTACCCCTTGCCTGACGTGTCCCCAGACCTGCTGGGGAGGCACACCCACCTGCTGTTTTTGGACACCTCCCAGCTGTTGCCCAGGCTGGTAGAGTCTGGCTCCAGCATCCCTTCCGGGTTCAGGAAGTCATCTGCTGCCAGCCCGTTGTAGTTCCCACACATGCCACAAACCTTCTGCCCAAAGGTGCTTGGAAGTGTCACCTCTACCCGATGGTCCCCATCAAACTTCACTCTCAAGCCAAAGTCTGTCATGACCATAGTGTAGAACCCACTGGACAAGACCTGCACACCTGCGGATGGGTTGCAAGGCAGGATCTCTGCCACTCCATTCACCTGGAAGGACAGGAAGCAAGACAGGATTGAAGCAACCCATTTGGTACAGCTCCTTCCTCTTGCACAGCCCCACAGGCTCTCCCCTCGAGCTTACCGTCACCACTCCACCCTGCCCCAGCCTTATCCGCTGGTCAGCCACATCGACATCCACGTATCGGACGTAGGACACACGAGTGTTGCCTCTCCTGTGCTCGTTGGCTGCTTCCACGTTGAAGTAGGGCAGGGAGCTGTTGCTCTCACACAGCTTGGAGAGGGTGTAGGTGCAGGTGCCCATGAAGTTGTGTAGCTGCTTGTCGAATGTGTGGTAGTGAGGGTCTCCTTCCACCACACAGGTCTCTGACAGTGGAAAGACCAGAGGGCAAGTTTAGTTGAGCACATCCCGCTGCCTCTTCTCCCCAGCCTACAAAGGACTGTGGCCCCACGACTGGTCTACTGCTTTTACAAAGAGACAGAGTCATTAGAGATCTCTGTCAAAATAGCATTCATTTTCCCAGGCATGCTGTTCAAACCTACTCAAACACGTTCATTGCAGAAGCACACGTGACCCACACCAACTTTAGAAATGGAATAGGTTCTAATGCGTGCCTTGTTATGGAGGGAGACTGACACAAGGCAAATTACAGCCCTCAAATGTAAATGCAACTAGTAGCCAGTGGGGATTTTGAAGACGACTCAGAATGCTACCAACAACAGCAGTACCTGAGGTCATCCCAGGTGGTGTTGTTGGTGGTCTTGGTGTTGTCTGCGTTGTGATGTTAGGCAGTGGGGTTGAGGGTGTGGGAGGAAGTGGACCTATGAAGAGACAGAGGAAGAAATGGGCAGTGTCAGCATGGGCGTTTTGTTGCATGCAGCTTGTCCACCCTTCCTGAAAAAACCAACATTCTGACTCAAGAGACCCACATCAGGGAAGGCACAGTTATACCTAAGCAAACACATTTTGACAAGCAAAGCTGGGACATAGGAGGGAACGTGCACCCCCTTCACTACAGACAAACCATCCCAAGTCTTGGCCCTTGGAGGAAGCGAATTGAAAAGTTTCAACAAAGAGAAGACGGGGATGGGACGTGGCAGTAGCTGATCTGGGTGTGGGTATTGCTGGTGATGTTGTGTGGGCAGGCGGTGTTGTGGTGCCTGGCTGTGGGGTCGTGGGTGTTGGTGTTGATGCACCTAGCAGAAGGGACAGTTAGAGGAGATGTGCACCAACGTGGGAGTCTGCTTGCAGGCAGCTGCTTCCTTCACCCTTCTGAAGCACCCAACTCCATTACCAGGCATGCCCAGAAGAGACAGTGAAGCGTGTCATCTCAGGAAGAACCCTCCCACCCAAGGGCTCAGCCAGCAGCACAGCTGGGTAACAAAAGCAAGTAAGGCACTTCAGTCCCATGGTCAATGTCCTGTCTGTGGGCCTTGTAACACATGAACTAAACCAGGCATTGCCAGTGCTCCAGTCTCCCAGGAGAAAGCCGGCTTGGGCACAGGAGGCATCAGTGCCCTACAGGGCACTGCAGAGAGAACGTGTGCTCCTGCCTCTAGCACAGCCTGCCAGCTCAGTTGGTGACATGTCTCAAGCTGCCCTTTCCCAAGCCAAGCCTTGTACCTGCACAGGATCCCTTTTCAATGGACAGATCATCCAACGCTACGTTGCTCCGGGCGTCTTCACCCCATTGTCCCTCCAGCAAAATCTAAGGGAAGGAATTGTTCCCAGCATTAGCTCTGGCCGCGCATGTGAAGCGCCGTTAGGAAGGATGGTTCCTCTTAGGTGGCAGTGAGAGCCTGTGCCCTTACCTGCGTATTTCCTGTGATGTGCACCGTCACCTCTCCCAAGTGCCACATGTCCCCATGGTTCCCTTCTTGATTCCACACCTCCACTTGCTCAGAGTCCTTTGCCACGTACACCCTCAGGGCCATTTCAGCGTTTCCGTACATGTGGTACCAGAAGCGGAAGCAGTGCGTTCCTTCCCAACTGCACACCGGACTGACCAGGACAGCCACAAACCCGGAGAAAGCATCATCAGTCCCTTGCAGGTAGATGTAGTAGCCGTCTGAAACCAAGCATAGGCCACACTGTCACACACACATCAAATCTAGACAAAGCAGCCAGGGACAACCCAAGCACAGTCCTGGGAGCGCCGAAGCTGCAGTTTCAGGCAGGCAAAAGGAGGGGGGAGCAAACACAGGTCCTTCACGAGCCACAAGCCTCCCCGGACCCGAGTGCCTCTACGAAGGTGCTCTCTGGGCCACAGCAGCTGCATGCCTTGGCCTGGGCAACGGCACCACCTCCAAAGCATTGCCACAGCCCTTGCGTGGCTCTGCAGCTTTGGAGACTCAGTCCTCATCTTGTTGTTTGGAGAAGCCAACCTCTCTGTCTAACAGAGAGACAGACCCATTCCTGTTCCCCGGAGACCAACGGGTCATCAAGCTCTGCATTACTTTCTCCCCCGCAAGGCAGGCCCTGGCCTGCCCTGCGGCTACCACAGGCTGATTCCCAGGGCTGGAAATCTTCCCAAAGGAAGCCTCTGGCTCTGGGAGACACTGCTTTAAATTTCTCTGGATCAAGACCAGGAAAGATGTGGCCTGTGTTTGCTGTTAGCAGAAGTTTAGGGGTATCTTCTCAGGGACACTCCCCAACCTGTGTCCTGATTGCTGTTCCTACCTCCAGTTGTGTGGTCAGAGGAGGGGCCGGTATTTGGTGTGGGCGTTGGGCCTTTGTTCCTTATCCAGTCAATGCTGCTGTAGTCTGCCTGGACCCAGCCACAGAAGTCCTTGTCGAATGTGCAGGTGAAATTGCAGTCTGTTGGGGGAGCTGGACGTGGTGCAGAAAGGAAAGCGGAGGTTGTAGAGTGAAGGTGGGGCCACCTTTTCCCACTGTCACACAGTGCTCACGTACAGCCACATACATCCATGGCATGTCTGTGGCCAGGTGAGGGTGGCCAGCCAAGGGGAAGGGCTTAGCAGAGCCAGTAAAAAACATGGATGGGAGACAACCGTACCTGTGCTTGTCCCAGGTGCCGGTGAGGTTGTTGTAGGTGGAGGCCGTGTTGTAGTGTCTGGCAAGGGGGGCGAGGGTGTAGGAGCTGATGAATGAAAGAGAGTGAACCAAAGGTGGAGAAGGTGTGTTTTGTAATGGGGATTTGTTCCCAAATGGGGATGTTGCACCCTTCCCAAACACCACCACACCATGGCAAAAGAACTGTAGGACGCACACCAGGCCAGTGAGGTGACAGGTGGGGAAACCTCCAGCACAGCTGCCCCATTCCTTGAGTCAAGGAGAGAGTCAGGGAAATCAAAGGAGACGGACAGAAGACTTACCACAGACAGTGCCAGCACTCCAGTCTCCCAGGGCAACGCCTGCCTCCGCACAGGCTGTGGCATAGGCCCCCAGGTCATTGCAGAGCTGCTCCGTGCTGCCGCCCGTGGCACACTGGTCATAGACACAGCTCTCAAAGTACGTCTGGGGCGGCAGAACTGCGTGGCATGGCTGGAATGGTCCACCCAGATGCGTGAGGATTGAACACTGCTTGTTAGCTGCCTCTTCCTCGGCAGGGGAGCAGGACACAGGTGGGCTGATGGCTGGGTCACACCTACACAGCAGACAGACAGCCCTGAGCTCACCGCAGCCACACCATTTCCTGACCTCCTCCCCAAACAAAACCTCAGCTTCCGGAGCCCAGATCCCTCCCTGAGACAGGCACCAACGGTGTCACTTGCAAGGGTGGAACGTACGGTCCACGGTCACCAGTCCCACCCCTGGAATCAGGTGGACAGAAGAAAATGCCTCAGGCTGTGGCGATCCCAACAACTTGGGAAAAGTGTCATGCCCAGGCCCTGGACCACCCTCCCGGAGGTCAAGAAACTGCCTCTTCTCCCTTGGCCCACACCTGCCATCACCAACCCTTCCTCCTGATGGCCCTCATAGCTCCCCTCTCCCAAACTCCCTCTTGTCCTTCATCTGCAGGATGGATCAGGGACTCACGGCCACTCATCATCCGGCACCATCCAGCTGGCTCCAAAGTCATTGAAGTCGGGCACGACAACTCCATCAGGGCGCATGAAGTCGTCCTGCTGGCTCCCAGTGTACGTCCCACACAGCCCACAGAGCTTGCCCTTGTGCTTCTCAGACACCTTCACGAGGAGCTCGTGGTCCCCGTTGAACTGCAGTTGCAGGCCCAGCTTGGTGGAAACGTGCACGTAGGAGCCGCTCAGGGAAATGGTCACACCGGGGGCAGGAGAAGCAGGCAGGGAGACCAGAGCACCGTTGACCTGGAGTAGGGGGAAAGAGGGAAGCATAAAGAGGTGTCCTCTGCTGAGAGGTCCCTGTTCCTCACTGGGGTGGTGCCAGGGCCCAGTGAGTCGGAAGCACTGATGGCATGAGAAACCCTGCCCAGGTCTACGAGGACACCAGCAGGTCTACACACGGCCCACCCAAAGGTCAGGAAACCAGCCAAAAATCTGCGGCTGCACGAGCAGCCACATCTGCCTCACTCAGAGCCTCGCCGTGCTCTTCTGCGAGCACACAGCAGGCTGAGGGAACAGCAAGCTCTCCCTGGGGACAGAGTGGTATTTAGGGATGCTTAGTGCATCTGTGGTTCCCAAGTGTAAAAACGAGGGGCTTACGTAGACGGACTTGCGCTTGCGCAGTGCAATGTGGAGGCCTTCCAGGGACAGTGCCACAGAGTTCAGAGCTGTCCAGCTCTGGCTGCCGCGATGTTCGTTGCGGGTGGTGACACTGAACCCGATGGAGGAGTTGTCACAGCCTGTTACAACGGTGTAGTTGCAGGAGCCCTGGAAGTGGTGAAGCTTCCCATCAAAGGTGCTGTAATGCGGGTCGCCATAGATGTGGCAGAGCGCAGTGCTGGCTGGGTAACAGCCCCTCTGGCCGTTCTGGATCTTGCAGACCTCGTCCTCGCCACAGGACAAGGCAGAGCAAACCATCTGGCCGTTGTGTTCACACCGGCACCGGCGAGTGCAATTCTCGTTCACGGAGTACTCGCCTTCCTGCAGGCAGGGAAACACCAAACGTCAGTGTAGGACACAGGAAAATTGAGGCAAGGGAGTCCCTGGGAGGGGTGCAAACCCGGGCAGGGGTTTCACTCACGCTGTAGTAGTTGTCCTCAAAGAGGCAGCCACACTGGGCCTCGGGCACACAGGTGTCTCCGCTGAGGAGGAAGCCAGAGGTACACGCACAGCCCTCCACGCAGGGCTTGGAGCAGTTCAGTGGGGCTTGTCGGTCAACACAGGTGGCAGGACAGCCGGTCATGCAAGGGTCATAGTAGCTGTTGGAAGGACACTTCAGGGCTGCAATGGGGAGGGGACAATTAGGACCAGCAAGAATCCAAGCAAGGAAGGCCTTCTGGGAGGGGGAAGACCAAAGACTGTCTTTGGCCAGAGGTTCTGGCCAAGGGGAGCGGCACATTTCCCTTCTGGCAACGGCAAGGCAGGTACTCACGGCAGAAGGTAGCATTCCTCCAGGGCAGAAGAGTCACGCCG